TTTTTTTGCCAAGAAAATTATTCAATAATTGATTAAGATTTTTTGATAAAAAAAAAGTATGGTGAAAAGATTATGAATATGGAAATAGAAATTTCATTGAACAAATTAATTTACTGAGGAAGATTTTTGATTAAAATTTTTCAGATAAAAAAAAATTGAATAAAGGAAAGAAAAAAAAAAAAAGGTAATTTCATATAGCTATATGTGGTAATTTAATGAAAAAAAAAATTAAAGAATGAAATTTAAACGTTAGTTTAAATAAAATCAATGCTCTCTTATAAAATGATATAATATGACAAGATGACAGTTAAAAATTTATGAATTTCTGATTTTTATTTTAAAACTTTAAAAAAAAAAATTTTAAACTTTTAAAGGAAAACTTCTAAATTTCACTTTTAAAATCTTATCATCTTCAATAATCCAATAATTTATTAAATTTTACTTCTAAGAATGAAACAAAAAAGTAAAAAAAAAAAAACTTATTAAAACTCCACCCATTTGATTTTTTTTTCATTTTTGTTTTAAATTTATACTTTTTCATGCATTTAAAAAGTTATAAGCTAAAATAAAAAAAGTTTGAGTAATAATTTGAAAATTTTAAAATTTGCTTAATGATTCATTCAATTTCATTATGGTATTAAAACTGAATTGTGTAAACATTTATGGAAGTTGAAAAATTTTATTTGCATTTTATGACTCATAAAAGTTAATGACATATGCCATTTTGTAATATTTGATTTGCACTTTATAATATTCATTAAAATATATTTTGCAAAAATGCAAAAAAAGGAGGAAAAAAATTTTAATAATATATCATATGAAATTATAAAATAAATTACAAACATATTTGATATATGTAAGTTATAAGTTATAAGTTATACTTTATTAAAGTTATAAGTTATACTTTATGAGTCATAAAAGGTAATGACGTATGCCGTTTAAGTAAGTTATAAGTAAGTTATAAGTTATACTTTATTAAAGTTATAAGTTATACCTTATTAAAGTTATAAGTTATACTTTATTAAAGTTATAAGTTATACTTTATGACTCATAAAAGATAATGTCGTATGCCGTTTAAGTAAGTTATAAGTTATACTTTATGAAAGTAAGTGTTACTTTCTTCCCAATTTCAAAATTTGTCAACAAGTAAGTTATAAGTTATACTCCATGAAACTAAGTGTTACTTTCTTCCCAATTTGAAAAATTTTTTTTTCCTTTTAGAAACCTAAAATACAATTCAAAATTTAATGATTAAAATTTTTTTTCCTTTACCTAAAATATAATTTAAAATTTAATGATTAAGTTTTTTTTTTTAAATAAGAATACAATTCAAATTTTTTTCCTTTTTTAAATAGCTAAAATATAATTCAAAAATGTTTTTGACAATTAGAATTTTTTATCAATTATGAAATTTTCGATATAGATTTTTATCAAAAGAAAAAACAAAATTTTTTACACTATCAATTTTTTCACTCTATGTTTGCATATCTTTGATAAGCCGTATTGTAATAATATGATATAGTTGTAGTAATTATCAATTTATCAAATATTATTCAATTAATTAATTTTACATATTAAATTAATAGTACATTTTTTCTTGTAAATTTCAAAAAATGATGAAATGATAATTTATTACTAACACTGTTGCAATAGGAATATCCGGAATTGCTATTGCTTCCCAATGAAAGCCATCGTCACTGAAAAAAAAAATAAATAAAGGAGAAATTATGAAAAATATTTTTTCTTTTTTTGGATTTTCAAGAATAATAACCTTTTTAAAATTCATTAAATGATAATAGCTATAATATTAATTCTTTCATTTCATTTTAATTCTTTCATTTCATTTTAATTCTCATCCTTTATTTGGTACATTTTAATGAATGAATGAATGCGATATTATCAATTAAATATAAATGATATATAACTGCTTTATTTTGAATATAAATATCAAGGAGTATAAAGAGATATGCAATCTATGACAGAGATATATTATAACTATCTAATTTACATATTCATTCATATTAATCGTAAATTCAAAATTCAAAAATATTTTCATATTAATATTAATTTCATTCATATTGTTTCATATTGATTCAAAAAATTAATAGAATTTCAATCATTGAGCATTCTATTGTAGTGATAAATAAGTAAATGAATGGATGGATAGGTAAATAAACAAGTAAATAAGTACATAAATATGTATATAATTTATTTAGTAATTGAATTAGAAAAAAAGAAAAAACTGGCTAAGTCTCTAAATTTTAATAGCAATATTATTTTGAATTTATTGTGCTTCTTATTTATTTAATTATTTGACTTTTACTTTATTAAATTTTTTATTCAACTTTTTTTTTCTATTTTTAATGAAATTTTACAAATGAAATATCTATTGACTGTTTGATCAGTAATTCAACAAATTCTATTAATTAAAGGGGAATTTTCGATAGTTCCATTAATATTTTATTTTCAGGATTAAAAGTTAATCATCAAAAGAAATCAAGGAATGGAAAATTGCTTCGTCATGATTAAATATTAACTAATTGGAATCGTTAGTTAATTAGTAGCATTTATTATTAAGTCATTTATTATCCGGTTAATTAACAAATGTCATTTAAAGCTTGGAATAGATTTATATAATTCAACTGATTTATTTCAAACTAATTACTTTTTTTTCAATTTAAACTTATACAAAATAGTTTAAATTTATAGAAGATATTTAAATTTATACAAAATAAAAATTTCAATTTAAATTTATACACAATTTATACAAAATTAATTTATTTTAATGTAAAATTACCTGATTATTTTATATCTTCTCATGGCTATTCATTTATCAAATAGGCCAAACATTAACTTTCTATGTAAAAAAAAAAAAAAGTTTAACAAAAAATATCGCAAATAAAAAATTATTTTATAGCTGATATATTCTCTTTTTGAGATACGGTAAGCACAATCATAACATATGTGTTCTCTTTCGGGTTTTCTTTTTTAGACTCCCAAAAAATATCTTAGATAAAAAAAAAAAGAAAAAACATTTTCCCCATATCTTAGACAATTTTCCTTCCCATGATCAGATCATATCTTATAGTTGATCAATGTATTTCACCTAAATGAAATCTCAAATGATTTCACAACATCATACCATTCCTTAGATAACAAATAAACATTATTAATTGTATAATATTACTAATTGAATATTAATTAATTAATATTATTGATTAGATAACTAATTGGGAATACTAAATAGCAATATCAATTAGTTAAATATTATCAATTGAAATACATTAAACAACTTTTTCACTTTTTTTATTGAATTTGAATTTTCATTACATTTATTTAGTTATCTAATCAGTAATATTAACCGATTAATACTTAAAATAATATGCAATACTTAAAATAATATAATACCTAAAATAATATGCCAAAATGATTATATATTTTTAAAAAGACCAAAAAAAAAAAAGTAAAATAAATAAAAGCAAATTTTAAAAAGCAAAAATAACTAAATAAAAATTTGCAATAAATTTGAATACTTTCTTTTTCTAATTATTATAATTAGCAATTATATCCTCCAATGCAAATTTTTTAGAAATATTTCATCAAATTTAACAATTTTTAACAATATCATTTTCATCTATTACATCAATTCAGAAATATCACAAATAATTTCATAAAAAAAGTTATTTCATAAAATATAAAATTTTGAATTCAAAAAAAAAAGTAAAAAATTGGCACTGTATAATTAGAAAAGTATTGATAGAAATTCAATAATTGTAAAATTGAGTGCAACTTTTTTTTTTTCTCTCCCAGAATATTTAAAGAGAAATGTAATGAGTTTATTAAACGTAGCGTAATTCCTTATTAACTTTTGAAATAGAAGGAACAAAAAAAAAAAAAGAGGGAACTGTATTTTATGAATCAAAAGGTCAATACAAGAAAC